CCCAGAGATGTCCGATGTTCGACAAGTGGCTGACAAGATTGTAGACCCAATTTGATTTCGATTTATTTGGGTTGGGTGCAAATGTGCCCCTTTGAAAGGCTGTATTTGGTTCGCCAGCCGAAGAAAGCCACGTTCTCATAAAGTTTTCATAGAACCAATAGAATGGCTACCTTAGTTTCTGAATGTGTACCTTGTAAACCTACCTGGTGCATCATTCCCCGCCGATTGGCCACATCGTCGTCCTGCTCGTCGATGGTGGACAGTTTCCTGGAGCTATAGTTGGCCTTCTTGCACTGAAACTCCGATCCTGGGACCACCTGATAGGACATCGAGTGGGGCACAAATTTGAGATACTCGTCATCTCTAGTTGAGGAGATGAAAGGAAGTAGAAATTGCTTTATATAAGTGCACTTCAATTCATTCAATGACCCAGATAAATGCGTCAACATGCCAATTGATTCTCCTTATTATTTTTATAAAAATCTAAGAGCTGAATAAAACTGGCCAGCCTCAAAAGCTGCGAGTTCTGATATAGGGTAGCGTAGACAATGGACTCGCTTATTATCAAGGTGCTCCAACACTTTGCCAGCCTAATGGGCTTAATGACTCGCAATTATTGGCAATTTCATGGATCGGCGGAGCGGGCAACCCTTTCACACGCCACTCAAATCAATCCACTTGCATTCCCCAATCCCCATTCCCCATTCCCCAATCCCCATTGTTGCTTCTACCACATTTAGTTGCACTTTAATCCGGACGACTCGCAATTGAGTCACTGCGAAGTAAAGCTAGAGAAGCATTCAGTGATAAGAAGAGCGCGAATACGTCACTTTCAGTTTCAGAACCAGAACCAGAAAGCAGAAACCAGCTGAGTTTGTTTTGGCTGGGCGATAAGAAAACACAGAAAGAACCAAAACACTGCGATTTTTGAGCGTTTCGAGCTCTCGCTCTTTTGCTCAAAGCTTTTGTATCGCTTGTGTTTCAACGGCTTAAATAATGTTAATGTGTTTTTTATCGCCAGCCAAGGTTAGTTTGGAGTCACGTTTAATGAACCGAGTCAAACTTTCTTCCTATTTTGCCAATATAAATATTTGTGGCACAGTTTGCCCAATTGAATGGCAAATTATATGCAATATTATACACAATTTTGGGAATACTCAATACTTCCCCTTTGCGCTGCCATTGATCTGCAAAATGCAAACCTTGGACACCTAAAGCTCACCCGTAGCATTGGTGGCTCCATAAGTCTGTCAATCGTGCTGGGAATGTTAAAAACAAAGTGAAGCAGCTTCGGCAAAACAAAACATTTCAAATTGTTTGACTGGGCCGCATAACACGACAGTATCGCCGGCAGAATCGTCTGCGATTGATTAAGGAAGTGCCGCAGATAATGTGACCGGTTCAATGTACCAAAGCGAACGGGTTTGGACACACACCAAAAATAAAGTGCACCTGATGCGGGGAAATCCCTACGTACTTTAATAGGCCCCCAATGATCCCCGAACTCCCAGGCAAACTTTCCAATCACTTTCAATCGGCGTGACTGAAGTCCATGCCTCTGCCGTTTGCCCATCATCAATACGCCGATGTGTGAATTGGAAGTGTCGCCAGCACGACTCTACGGATTCTATAAACCGAAACGCTCACCCACTGTTGACACCGCAAATTAGATAATTTATACCACATTGGCACACACTCGAGTAAAACAATCATTGGGAGCCAATCGAATCGAATGGGCAGCCAGCAAATGATTTGGCTTAATTGAGGCAATCTTTGTGGAGTGCAGAAAAGGGGGTAGGGCAGTCAGCTGGTGGCGCCATGCCACTCAATCGAGGATTCATTTCACCACTGGTTGGCATGGGGAGTGCGTAATAACTAAACTGAATTTAATTGGCACGCCAGATGCCAAAGTTCAAGATAAGATATAGGTGGTAAGCAGCCGAAATTCAAAACGGAAGCAGTGGGCCTATCACCAATTAATGGGGGTTAACCAATCCAATTAGGGAGGTTCCATAAATGAAATCTCATCGTTACAACGGTAAGTAATTTCGAATCAATCAATATTTGCAATCAATATGTGCAAGGACTTAAAGAGCCTGCTGGGCTCAATTCAATTTTCGTTCAATAAGGTAGCGTCATTGAGCCATTGATTGATGTGCTAATCGGTGTAGAAATATTTCAACTCATCGTGAGACTTGATAAGGTAAAAATAAAGTCTGTGCACATTTCAAAACAATGCAAATAAGCTCTATACATTTCAGCTGAGCGCGAAATATGTACATTTGTTTTCAATCAACACGTGTTTTGTTCGGTAAATACCCGCCTATCTAATCAGCCTTTTCCAAATTAAATACTAATATTATTTACTATATTGCGTGAGATAACTGAAATCTTTTCTCTGGAACCATTACGTTGATCAGCAATCGAATTTGGCCACAAGAATCACAGACAAATCTGGCTGGCCTTTAGTAATGTAGTGATAAGATTCAAACATATATTTTCATTGCGAACTCGACAATTAGCTGGCATTAAACAGCGCCTATCGAAGGGGCCAACATGTAGCCCTAATCTCCCGCTTGGAGTACTTAAGAACCCTCCTGATGATCACGGACCCTAGCAACACGAAGGCACACAGCCCACCGAAGGAATCCGAAAACTTGTTTGCGGTGGCTGGGGTTTAAAGTCGAAGGGGGTATTTTTAGCTGACCAGACGGTAGGTCCGCAGAAAGCAGCGATGTCTGGACACCTAGTGCTTGGCACAAATACACAAGCTGCATTGTTTTGATGTTTCATTACCTTTCGACACTCATTTTGGCCGGCTATAATGTAGGCAAATTAGTCCAAGCAGTTTCGGAATTAATCTATGGAAATCCTCCGTATTCTGCTGCTCTTTATGTAACTAAGTAGTTGCGAATTAAATCGCCTGCCTCAGATAATTTTGCTGTGCAAAGCACTCGATCGCGTGGTTATATATCACCAATCTCCGGGAAAACACTGAGATACACTGCGAGAAAAGCGGACACGCGGAGCAGCGACAATTTCATTTCATGCCAAAACACACACTGGCTGGCAAAGCGGCTCCGCTGCGGCTTTTTATTTATGAACAGCGATCGACGCTGACGCTGCGATCGCAGCACGCACACACACACCCAAATCCATGGCAATTTTGCACTCGCTCTCTCTCTGTCCCTCGCTCTTTTTGCACGCCGCCGTATGCCGCTTGCTCCCTCGCACGCGCCTGCTCGCAAAGCATGCTTGCGAAAAGATTCTTGCTTTGCTTGACCATCAGCACAGCTGACCGTGCCAGAACAGTTACTTTTCTTCACGGGTGTGGGGAGTTAACTTTTGGGGAGCTTTTGCGACTAGCGGAGACTACAACCCAAGTGCGGATCTGTAGACTACACTTATAGAATCCGGCCTGTTGTATCTGAAAGATGTATCTGAAAGTATTTATATATACAACAAATCTGTCTATACTCTAACACATTGATCCTTAAAACGCAGTCTTTAGGGAGCAAAAATAGCAACGCATTACTCTCTGTGTATTTTGTTTGGCTTGCTTGTATGAACAAGTAAATACAAGCCACCCATTTAATGCCCTTCTTGCTGAATCGAAAAGAGCAACAACAGAGAGCCGTCGTGAAAATGACCCGAGGGTCGAAGGAAAGCTGAATTGACAAAGCTTTTCATTCATAACCTGGCCCAACAACAAGAATGGTGGCGAAGCATCAGCAACTGTGGCACAAATGCTGCTCAGAAACTTGCGGAAACTCGGGGAAATGTGAATTGCGCACAGGATAAGCGGCGCGGGGAAAGTGCAGATAGTCTATATATGTACTACTAAAAAAAGAGTGATGGGGCTCAGGTTGTGTGGTGAGGAAACGGTGCGAAAATTTCGTGCAAACTATCCGCCATGTAAAACTGCGTCTGTGTAAAACTTTGTTATTCCCCTTTTTTGTGTGAGAGCTTTTGTAAGCGGCTTACGATGCTCGGTGCTATCTCCCAACCCACCCACCACCCACCGCTTTACTTTCACTTCCATTTCCACTCCCACTTCCGTTTCCGTTCGCTAAGCTCGAACACTTGCGTAAATAAATGTATCACCCTGAGCGCTCTCTCTGTTTTCACGATTTCTCTCTCTGCCCCAATGCTCCAGTGTTTCAGTGTTTCAGTGTCTAGGTCGGGGCAGCTTTTCCTGCTGAAGGTCGCCTGGCCAACTGTTCGATGCGTGTCTCTATTGGATTTATCCCCCTTTGGTGGGCCAAACTATCGACCGCTGGCGCGGGAAGCTCGTAGAGTGGGCGAAGTCCTTGCAGCCTCCGAGCCAGCATTTTTAAGTTAAGTTTTAAGTTATGATTTTGTCAACCCTTCAACTGCATTTTAATGCGCACTGCTATTGGCCAATCGCCCATTGTTCATCGACTCAACACTGGACAGCACACCCACACACGGCCAGATGCAAATGCACATGCATAATTAAGTGAGTTATTGTTCAAGGACGCATATTCACTACTGCGCCCACCAACGGCATCACTGCGAGAAATTCTGAAAGGCAACATACTTATATGAAAATCGGAATTGAAGTATGAAGCTGTTGTATTTTGCTAATAACTAGACAAGCGGATGTACCCCTGGGCGTATACTTGATTTCCGATCGTTTGTATTCCCCATCCGCCATGTGAGCCGATTTTTGCCCAGTGACCCCAAAGGCATTACGACTCCCACTGCCCTTTTTTCGCCAGTATCCTGCCTACCCATTCCATTCCATTGGGCCGTAAATCAAATTGCAAATCAAAAGCAGCGCCCAACGGCTGCCATAAACATTTATGGCAAGCGAGCGTGGGTGGAAAAGCTTCCCGCGCGGAGCTTTCCACGCTCCCGCAAAGAAAAGCGTTCGCTCTCGCTTTCCACTTTTCACTTTTCTCGCCTCCGCCTCCGCCTCCGCCTTTTCCTCGCCAGCGGGAAATCTCCTGCTGCTGCTTCCGTTTCACTTTCAGTTGCTTTCGAATTGTCCGCCAAATTGGACGCTTCACGTGTCCGTAATTTTCGATCCACCCACGGGAGCAGGCGAAACAACAACAAGAGCACAGAAACTGTCAAAAAAAATAGCTACCCACACACCTTGTGCCATTCGCTGAAGTTGCTGTTTTGGGCGAAAAGATCCTCGCAAAAAGTGCGCAAAAGTGAAGAAAATCGGAGGCGAAAACCCAAAGCGAACTCTTAATTGTGTAAGTCCCGCGTGCCCATGTATTTGTGTGCGATTGTGCGAGTTGTGCGTGTGTGTATTGGTGGGAGTGTCCTTCGAGTCCTGGCAGTAAATATTTAAAACAATTAAAACCAAAGCCCGCGCCAAGGTCCCTTCCCGCAGGACGAGTCCGTTGACAGGCCCAATTAGGCGGCGTTCCCTTGCAGCCACGTCCTGCGCCCAGGATAACCGCATTGTGCGGCTAATTCGGCGTTAATGCAGTCTGATTACAGCCCATCCCGATGCCCTGTCCTCCCACCTGACTGCCACTGCACTGGAGGGCCACAACCACCAGCTGGTCACTGGATTCGCTGGCAGTGGCCATGAGAACTCGCTGCAACTGCAACATTTCGTAGCACACTTTTCGGGGGAAAGTGCGAGTGAAAGTGAAGCCTTGGGCTGAGGCAAAAGTTTGGCCGGACTTTACGTTTAAGCCAGGACTCAACTGGACTTAAGACAACAGTTGAGCAAAGTTGCAAGTAATTAAGCCCTGATAAAAGTAAAAATAAAATACCAAACGATTTTAGGAGAGGTCAGGTAATTTAACAATCATTGCAAAATAAAGACAAATTCTTCGCCTGCTGCCAGTGATTAATTGTTCAAGGATTAGTGTACATCAATTTAACTTTATATCCATTTGGCTTGTAATATCTGGTTAGTTATTTCAGTGAGCTGAAATTGAAACCTGATTGGAAGCGTAATTTGCATTATCCCAGAGTCGTGTCCAATAAATTTGCATGTACATGCCAGGAGCCCCTCGCTTCCGCCTGCAACCGCTTGGCTGGGCATCAGGTGCATCCAATTCCGGGCCGAACGGATACTTCGGGCTGGGCAAATATTTGCCGCAAGTTGGCCAGGACTGGTGCCTCCAGCCCGTGCCTTCCCGGGCCACCGTGCTCCGCTCCAGCCAAGCGTGGATGAACGCAAAATTAATTCCAGCCTCCGCCCGCTGAGGCTCCTCTTGTGCCCGGACTGCTGGCGGCACCTTCGTCCCGAGTTCCGAGTCCCTCGTCCCGAGTTCCGATAACTTTTTACTACTTTCGCCATCCTTTTGCTTCTGCTGCCTAAGTTTTCCTCCCCCTCCACTTGGTGGGCATTTTCTTCGCTCTTCTGGGCTTTGTTATTGGAATGTCTAAGTCGAGTTCCTGTTATTGTCGTACAGTAGGGCATCGAGAAGTGGGCTGCGGGGATGTATCTGACAAGGGTCCTTAAAACTTGTGGCTAATTAGTAATGCTAACTAACTAAGCGAGTGTAACAAAAACATTTATCTGACTTATAGCTATGAAAAAGTTTAACTTGTGAAGTCTTCATGGACTGCCCCATATACTCGTATTGCATGGAAAATATACTTGATATCCCATGATAACTGAGTTACTTCCCTGCTCAGTACTTTTATCCGAATTCAATTTAATCGCACCAATAGTTTCATTTAGCCAGCCCCTGTTACTTTTAATGGCTCTGCCCTGTGATTGTCGTGCCTTTTGTTATAGTGATTGCTGTGGCTACCTCAGCATCCTCGCCCTTGGAGCGGGCTTTTCCTCCTCTTCTAGGGTCCTTGCGCCCCTCCCCTCCTGCCCATTTCCCTCCTTCTGTCGCTTTTTGTTCCTTTTCCTGTGTGCCTTGTGGCTTCCTTCCTGTTCGGCATGAACGTGCGTTGTTTCCTTCGCGTTTGGGCTTTGGCATTGGCCTGTCCGTGTTTTGTGCGTGTTTGCCAGGGCTCAAGTTCAGGTTTTCCAGTTTTTCGGCTTTTTTGCCCTTTCCCTTTCCCTTTGCCTTGTCACTTGTTATTTTATTCGCCTGGCTCCGAGCGCTTTCCCTTTGTGTGTACATTTGAATCGCAATCAAATAACAATAAAAACATCAGCGACCTGGCTGAAAAGTGATCGCTGACATCGTGGCACGAGTATCCAGTGCCTTAGACTTAAAGCCACATCCTGATGGATGGCGGGATTTGGCTGTTTGTTGTGACACAGTCACACAGTCCCCCTGGCGTATACGCAATGTGGCGGATCTGCTGTCTACTCGAGCGAGGAACTTGTTGAGGGCTTAAGTGGCAAATTGGCAAGGTAATGTATTAGCCACGAGGAAGTCCATCATTTTAACAGATTATTTTGAGAATTAAATTTTCATCGAGGCAAACAGGAATTTATTTGACAACGAGTAAATTGAAGCATTTAAAAGCAAACCTCATTGTCTAGCTGCGGGCTTAACTAAATATGAGGCGATTGCAGACCCTGTGAACTTTGACCTACACCACAAAGCTGTTAAACTGCTTGTGCATGTCAGCACAGCTTTCCCCCGCTTTCCCCCGCATTCCCCGCTCCCCCCACTTACTATCTCTCCGCGGCAGCTGTTGTTGCATTTCCCCGACAATGCAACTGCCAATATACATGAATGTGGCTGTAAGTAGCAATGTGGTAGTGCGCAAGGCGATTGTGTTAGTTGTGTGGCTAACATTGACATTTGTGTCCGCTTAAGCGGACGACTCCTTCGAGGCAGGCGGGCTCTTATGCAACATGTGAAATCCTAATCAGATTGCACAGACGCTCTGTGCACCTGGAAAAGATTATTAATAGGGGATTATCATGAGGATGTCCAAAAGTAGCATTATATTTTGCAATCCCCAGACCAGCAACCTTTTACGTGCTTATATGGATTATATCTCAAGTATTATTGATTAATATGTATTAGCACTAGAGTGGTAACCCAGTACCAAACCTATTTACAACCTTGTTGGCGAGTGTAGTCCTTGCATCCCAATCCACGTCAGTGTCGCCCCAAACTGGCCAAATTCTTGTCCGCCAGTTGCACTGGCATTCCCGTCAGCACTCGGCCAACTCGTGCAACTGGTGCATGATTAAGCCCTGCAGCATTTCCCTGGCCAAAATGCAGCCGTGGCAAGGGCAGTCCCGTGAATTGGGAATGTGCTCTGACCGCAGGTCTGTCAGCTGCAGCCGTCGTTGTGCCTCCACTCTGGAACGCTTCCTCAAGCTCCTAAATCTGCAGTGCACACAGCTGTAGATGGTGATTCCTGATGGTGATTCGGGGAAGGTACATAAGATGCCATACTGCTGATGTAGTGTGGCAACAACAAGCCGACTTACCAACTCCCACCACGGATATGTGCAGCAGCAGAACCATGAAGACAAAGCGGCCAAAGTGCCGATGTTGGTGGAGCTCCTCGAATGGAAGTTCGCGTTGGCCACTGGTGCTATACATGCTGATATTTGCCTCCGTTGGAGCAACAGTGGAGCTGTCGGCCAGCGTGGCCAAGTCCAGTTCCGTGGCATTGCCGGCAGTATTGTTTTCGTTCTCGAATTCAGCCATTTGCAGCAGCTGCGTTACATTTAGCCAGCCAAAGTCTTTCCCGGAATGCAGAGATACACAGATAGGAAAACAGAAATCAAACAAGCCGCAGGTGCCTCCCAAGTGCACTCACCCGTAAAGTTGTCATCAGCTTTGGCCAGGTGGGCGCAGGAGACCGAGGTGGCCAGCAGCAAGATCCACCTGGCCTTGTTTACCTGGACGGAGGGGCTCATGGTGCTCCGCCAATCGATCCAATGCAACTGAACAAACTGAAGGCCCCGATTCCAGTGCGACTTATCAACAGAAAAGCTGTTTATTCCAATCGCAACTTATGCCAAAGAAAGATGCCAAGTGGATTTCAATCCTAACGTAAATACATCTTTTACGTAATCGAAACGCCTAAACAAAACTTCAGTTCTATTCGTTTACTATACTATTACTTCATGAAAAGTATTTTCACTTAAGGTACTTGGAGTAGATAGGAGGTTCCTAGGCATAATGTGTGATGACCCCGCAGTTTTCGATGCAGAACGAGTTTCTCGCGATGCAGCAGTTGCGGCACAGGCAGTTGACCTTGGACGCGTGCAGGAAGGTCATCTCCAGGACGCGGGCCGCCTCCTGGGGCAGAGTGGGCCACACGATGCTCTGGGTGCGCGGGGCGTAGACATCGAGGCCATCGGAAGTGGATTCCACAGCCCGCGAGATCCGGCAGAAGCAGCAGATACATCCTGCCCAGAGGAAATCGGAAATCGGAAATCTCCGCTCTGCGAGTTGATCGCGGGAATGGAAGGCGCTTGAACTCACCCGCGAGGCCCAGGAGAGTCAGGACGAAGAGTCCCAGCAGAGTCAGCGAAAGGATTCTCATCTGGGACTCGGCCAGCAGGGAATCGCGACTTCCATTACCATTTGCTTGGCATTGGAATTGGTCCGGCCAAGTGGATAGTGCCAGGATGACAAAAGTGCATCGAGTGCCCGGCGCCAATGACATTTTGTTAATGGTTTCCACCGCTGCCCGGCGAACAATAAGCCACTCGAAAAGGAAAAACAAACCGCGGAAAACAGCTGCACGCAGATGGCGACATCGCCGTGGAGCAAACACAAGCGGATTGCAAACTTCTGGGCAAATGAAAAGTCCGCAAGTGCTAATCGGCATAAAGCTTCTTTCAGACAAGCCCCATGCCATTCCACTTTCTGTTTACCCGAGATAAATGCAAATGTTTCACTTTCGGAAATCCATTTCACTGGAAGGAACTCCAAGCCGGAATATTCAATTCCGATTTCAGAAACTCGGAAATTTAATAGCTGCAAAGTCAAGGCTAAGTGCTCCAGTAATAAAGCAAACGTAGTTTTAAAAACCGGTTCAAAGCAAGAGTAAATGTACTCAGCATTTTTCTAGGAAACGCTAGAAATGATCAAACTTGTGAGTGTAGGAACGAGTATACTCACATGAGTTCATACTCATGCCACAGCCTCCATAACACCCATAACACCCACTTCCGCCCACTTGTCTGAAAGCATTAAATCCGTGCGTTTTGCTCGGGTGTGCAGTTGTCATAAACCAAATAAAAGTAACCCATTTGCCCTGAGAAATTACATTTAAATTGCAAATTTAGGGCAGAAACAAAGCGGCACACACGAAACACACTCGACGACAGTCAGCTGCACTCGAAAGCATGAAAATGTGCGCCAAGGTGCAAATGTGGTGCAAAGTGAAAGCGGGAAAGCGAAGGAAAGGGGGAAATGCTGCGAAAACTGGGTGACAAGAAAAAATCATTTGCAGACATAATTCACTTAACTGCCAGCTGTCTCCTTCGTCCTTGTGCATTCATCCATGCTCATGTATGCATTTTTTCCCACTTTGCTATTTGAAATTTAATAGCGTGTTGCGAGCTGAAAACCCAACGCATTTAGTTGGCAATCGATACGGCGGCAATTAACCTAAAAATAGGCTAATGGAGAAATTGTGTAGCCTAAATTATTAAACTGCCTGTCATGTACTGAGCGACAGCAATTTCATTTAATACCCATTAATCAGGCTGCTTATACCCATTGATGATTCTAAAGATTCGGTGACTGCATTCGTGTTTTCTAAATCCAACTAGGCTTCCTGCTAAGAAAGTCACATTTCGAACAATTTTCAATTTAATCAACGAAATGATTTGCAATTTGGAATTCATAAAAAAGAGGCGAATCACTTGAAATGCCACTTTACGCGCATTTTGATTGTGATTTAGCGCTGAATTTGCGATTACCAGGACGATGACAGCGAAGGACGCAGGACGACAGACGATGACGAAGTAGATGAATATTTAATGCGGCTACAGGAGCCCCGGGGACCCAAGACGAAGGACGGAGGACGGAGCACGGAGGACCCTGAGGTGGAGGTGGAGGTGGAGGTGGAGCAGACGATGCAATAGAACGTGAAAATCTGTTTTCCTCCAGCATTTTCCGGGGGCAGGGGCAGCTGGAAAAGCTTGGGAACAGGGGCAACTTCGTTGCATCGCCACAAACTTGTGTGCGTGCGCTTGGCCTCTGTCGATGGTCACGCAGCTATATGTATCCACACAGATATATCTATATCTATATCTATAGCTCACGCAAAACTGAATAATCGATACCGCCGATAGCACCAATAACTCATTGAACTGCGAGCAAAGAGGCCAGCAGCAGCTGCTTCCTCCTCCCTCCGCTGGATTCATTTGCATCCACTTTTTGAGGGCGACACTTGGCACTGCATAATTACTCAAGGCTGTGAAGTTATCTGTAGGTTTATGGGCTTGTAAAAAGTCCTAATTAGCGGAGGTACTTGCCAATTAGACTTTCTTGTTCATACTTTTTAGTTTTTTTTATAGTTAGTTAACAGAAGATGAACTTATAGAACAAATATCTCTTACCTTTGGCAATGCGATGCATGACAAATTCATTGCTGGAACGAAGTACTTTATTTTCTGCAGTGCTGCTTAGCATATCCTGCGCCTACCCCCCTCCCCGTGCAACCACTTTCGCCCACTTTCACCCACTTTCGCCAGGGGGGCGAAGGTCGCCTCTCCTTTGTTTGCCGCTTGTGGGCAGCCTTCGTGGGTTCAAGTTCAAATGCCCCGAGTTTGGCCCGTCGTAATTGCCGTGACTTGTGCAACAGCAGAGAGCACAGATGCCACTGGTGGGGCGATGATGATCTTGATGGGAATGGTGGGAATGGTAGGCATGATGGGGATAATGGGGATGCCGAAGGTCCCTTGTCTCGCCTTGGGGCTGCAGGCGCAGGGAAATTTAACTTTCGCATAAAAATGTCAAAATAGGGAAAATTATGAAATGCCAAAAGGCGGAAAACGCTGTCGGCGGATTGTTCGCAAAAAAGGAAGAGAAAGCGAACAGGAAAACTATAATGCAGCCCATGTAAGCTGGCTACCCAGCCCCCGCCCTCCCCCCTTCCCGCTGCACTGCACAATCCCAAGGACGCTCAATGCAATCCACCCACCCACCATGCCCCTTCCTCTCATCAAGCGTAAACAAGCGGCGGCAGAAGCTCGAAAACATTTTCACACTCGAATTGACCAAACACAAACAAGGCAAAAAGAGCGTAGGTAGTGCGGGGTTGGGGGAGGGAGCAGGGGGTGGTTGGGCGGAAAATGGAAAAGGAGTTCCGCCCCCACACACTCTCCTATTAGACTTATTTGTTCACACACGTGGCCACTATTATTAGTTGCTACGTGAATGGGAATTTTTGACTGCTGTTCTTGGAAACAGTAGTAACGCCTTCCAGAAAGTTAAATTTCCTTTAAATAATTCTGGTGCCTCTCAATTACATAAGTATTCTTCAATAATTAGTAAAAGTGCATTGTCCATCTTGACATTGTTAGTCTTTCGTTTATTTGCAATTTTTTCCATAACCAATAAGCTTTGTTTTAAGTCGCCGATTATTGGGTCTCAGTTATGAGTCCATTTTAGAAGGGCATCGTGCAAATACACTGAAAAATCGAGCTGTTAACCTAAGGTACTCGACTGTGAATTGAAAGACTGTGAAAAAAATTAATTTCTAAATTTGAATTTTTAGAGAATTGCGGCAGAAACATTTAGAGGTATGCCACATTAAAATCCGATTAAGATAAGTTGAGTTATGGAGTTTAGAACTTCAGCCTTGGGGCATTTCTTAATGTTTATGAATTTCCACATCAGAAAAATTACAAAAAAATTGAAAAAAAAATAAATTTCAAAATTTGAATGCAGTTTTATAGAGAATTGCGGCAGAAACATTAAGAGGTATGCCACATTAAAATCCGATTAAGATAAGTTGAGTTATGGAGTTTAGAACTTCAGCCTTGGGGCATTTCTTAATGTTTATGAATTTCCACATCAGAAAAATTACAAAAAAATTGAAAAAAAAATAAATTTCAAAATTTGAATGCAGTTTTATAGAGAATTGCGGCAGAAACATTTAGAGGTATGCCACTTCAAAATCTGATTAGGATAAGTTGAGTTATGGAGTTTAGAACTTCAGCCTTGGGGCATTTCTTAATGTTTATGAATTTCAACATCAGAAAAATTACAAAAAAATTTAAAAAAAATAAATTTCAAAATTTGAATGCAGTTTTATAGAGAATTGCGGCAGAAACATTTAGAGGTATGCCACATTAAAATCCGATTAAGATAAGTTGAGTTATGGAGTTTAGAACTTCAGCCTTGGGGCATTTCTTAATGTTTATGAATTTCCACATCAGAAAAATTACAAAAAAATTGAAAAAAAAATAAATTTCAAAATTTGAATGCAGTTTTATAGAGAATTGTGGCAGAAACATTTAGAGGTATGCCACATTAAAATCCGATTAATATAAGTTGAGTTATGGAGTTTAGAACTTCAGCCTTGGGGCATTTCTTAATGTTTATGAATTTCCACATCAGAAAAATTACAAAAAAATTAAAAAAAAATAAATTTCAAAATTTGAATGCAGTTTTATAGAGAATTGCGGCAGAAACATTTAGAGGTATGCCACATTAAAATCCGATTAAGATAAGTTGAGTTATGGAGTTTAGAACTTCAGCCTTTGGGCATTTCTTAATGTTTATGAATTTCCACATCAGAAAAATTACAAAAAAATTAAAAAAAAATAAATTTCTAAATTTGAATGCAGTTTTATAGAGAATTGCGGCAGAAATATTAAGAGGTATGCCACGTCAAAATCCGATTAATATAAGTTGAGTTATGGAGTTTAGAACTTCAGCCTTGGGGCATTTCTTAATGTTTATGAATTTCCACATCAGAAAAATTACAAAAAAATTAAAAAAAAATAAATTTCAAAATTTGAATGCAGTTTTATAGAGAATTGCGGCAGAAACATTTAGAGGTATGCCACGTCAAAATCCGATTAATATAAGTTGAGTTATGGAGTTTAGAACTTCAGCCTTGGGGCATTTCTTAATGTTTATGAATTTCCACATCAGAAAAATTACAAAAAAATTAAAAAAAAATAAATTTCAAAATTTGAATGCAGTTTTATAGAGAATTGCGGCAGAAACATTTAAAGGTATGCCACATTAAAATCCGATTAATATAAGTTGAGTTATGGAGTTTAGAACTTCAGCCTTGGGGCATTTCTTAATGTTTATGAATTTCCACATCAGAAAAATTACAAAAAAATTTAAAAAAAATAAATTTCAAAATTTGAATGCAGTTTTATAGAGAATTGCGGCAGAAACATTTAGAGGTATGCCACTTCAAAATCTGATTAGGATAAGTTGAGTTATGGAGTTTAGAACTTCAGCCTTGGGGCATTTCTTAATGTTTATGAATTTCCACATCAGAAAAATTACAAAAAAATTGAAAAAAAAATAAATTTCAAAATTTGAATGCAGTTTTATAGAGAATTGCGGCAGAAACATTAAGAGGTATGCCACGTCAAAATCCGATTAATATAAGTTGAGTTATGGAGTTTAGAACTTCAGCCTTGGGGCATTTCTTAATGTTTATGAATTTCCACATCAGAAAAATTACAAAAAAATTAAAAAAAAATAAATTTCAAAATTTGAATGCAGTTTTATAGAGAATTGCGGCAGAAACATTTAGAGGTATGCCACATTAAAAT